CGAAACAGAAGAACGGCATAACGGTCGGCTCTGACTTTCCCATCTGTGCCGATGCACTGCACATACAATCTCTCATCCTTCTCTTGACTGAGGGGCAAGTTGGATATCTGGGAAAACTGTACGTGACATTGGCATCTGTGAATTCTGCTATGGCTGTGTAGATGGTGCTTCCTGAAGGGAAAGAGACAGTAGGGACAGTGCCAGTCAATTCCTGGGTAGAGGTGAGCAAAGAGGCCGGGATGAAGTATCCTCAGCCGGTGTGCAAGGAGGTGGTGTGTGCTCTGCTGGGGGCGGAGGGCTGTGGAGATACACATTCCAACAGGTACAGCAACCTGCACGGCAGGGAGAGGCACTTTTCAGGAGATGAAGGTCTGTTCGGAGACAGCTGACCTAGCTTTTGACTGCCGGATCATACTTCCGGAAGAAGCAAGTAAATACTTTTCCAAAATAACCACAATAAGACTTTGATGCTTAAGATGTTTATGAAGAAAGTGGAAAACTGTTGTGTATTTTTATTTAAACTACCACTACCAGCCATATACAGTTTCATAATATATTTATATTCCTAAATTAATATCGTTTATGACGTTCAGATACATTATGCTTCACTTATTTTTATGCTCAGCTACCAAAATTTCAATTTAGTTGTAAAATTCCATGTAAATATTCAATATTAAGCAGATTTAAACATGCACAGTAAAGAGATTAAATAAAGCAACCGTTTCACTAAAAACCAATGCACCACAAGTGCCACCTGTCAGTCATTTTGGCCAGCCAATCACATACTGTGGTATTCCTTGCTATTCTGCAAATAATTTTGAGCAATATGGGGTTTAAACACACATTTTGAATGGCTGCATCTGTAGAACATTGTTATGGCCCTTTTACTATATTGTTCTTGATCAATATATATTTCTATGTACAGTAGATGTACTACATGTAAAAGAATGCTAAATATTCTGTGTATTTCTGATTAAAATATTAACATTACATTAAATGTTTATTATAATTATTTTAAGAGTAAAATACATATGATCGTCTGACTTGTATGTTTTAACGTACATTACCTTCCTTAATACCTTGCTGGAGAGCCATACTTCATGACCTTAGTTTAGACAGAATCATGGATCACTGCAAGTGCTTTGTTATAAATAGCAAGAATAATTGCTATTCTGTCAGTGCAGCTCACAGGACTGACTCTGGCCTTTCCCACCACCTCTCTAAATTGAAATGGACTTGAATTTTAAAAGTTTCTGTCAAATAAAATTGTAAATCTCTGTAGTCTGTGCAGTTATATATATATTCCACATTTTGTTGACATCTAGTTTGCAATCATGACACTTTCAGATAGGACTTCAGTGCAGAATTTACACAATCTGTGTGCGATTGTACACTTTGTAAATAACTTATTAAGGATTCTCAGTAAGTGTTCAATCCCTGTGCAATGACAGCCCAAAATAAGTTCCAGCATACCTGAACACTGACATTTCCAATGTCACCTTAGTTTACCTTAGACTTCAGAAGAAAACATTTTTTGTTTATACCTCCCATCACTACAGATATTTTTGATAAGAGAGCTATGTTTAAGAATCTTTGAAAAATAATTTCACTGTGAACATTTTCCAAATCTGTGTCACTGAAATGTTGTTTTTTATATGAATGCTTTTACTTTAGTTCGCAAAATAAAAAAAATGGTATTAATTAAATTATATAGTTAATTTCCTAAACATTTTAATTATTCCTACTTTTTTTGGACGCAACTGCACATTTACCAATATAAAATTAATAATAGCTATTATAGGTTTGAAAAAGATAAAAAATCCATCTTAGACATACTTTTGAAATTTAAATATAAAAAATATATAAATATAAATTTAACTGGATATCACAAATTGAGCAAAGCTTGGACTGGAGAAAGTACACAGAATTAAAAAAAGAACATACAAAGAATTAAGTAAATAGTCTGTTTTATGATAACATACTGTATATAAATTCATTAAAGCAAAAACTGATATAACCACTTATAAATACATTGCTTATTTCACAGCCAGAACGATATATACATATATCACTGTATAATGCACTGTATATCTCATTTTTGTAAGTGAATTGGAAATCACTAAACTCTGTGCTGTAGATTGCACTAAGTGAAATCAACAAATTATCACTACCTGTTACTAAACAACATTAGTAAATTAATTTGGGGCTAAGAAAAAAAATAATTAATGTTTTGTATTATGCTGTATTACATAAAATTATTTTTGTTACTGCTTTATAAATTAATTCTGAGTTTCTCTTCATTTTGTATTCATACTCTCAGTTTATTCATATACTGTACTTCAGATCATCACCAGCATCTACTTGTTAAGCCTCACTTTCTTATTAGATAAACAGCTTTTAATATATGTAAGTTTGTTGTGAAACTTTTTTTTTCTTAATGGGAACAAGTAATGCTTTGTTTAGCTGAGTCGATCGGTTTTAACCTAGTATAAACATTATGGACAAAGGGTTGCATCTGATGTGCCATCTATCACATTAATGGCTACAGTACTGAAATGTATGCACACAGAAACTAAAATTCCGTGGGAACACAACAAGTATAATGTGGATTTCAGATGTTATATGGGGTGTTTTTTACATTGTATAAATAGAGGGTCAACAGAACTCAGCCTTTGAACAGAAGATTTCAACATGCATGAAAGACCTGCGTCCAGTTTGTTCTTGGGTTGTCTGGAGTTTAGTATTTTAAGAACAAAAAAAAACATACATTGTAATTTGATCAATGTCTTCCAGATGTTTTTTATGATTTATTTGCTTTTTGTTTCGCACATTACATCCATCCATACATCTATTTTGTGGTTGTGTGGGAGCCAAAGCCCATCCCATCAAAGCACAGGGCACAATGCAGGATACACCCTGGATTGGATGCCAGTCTGTTACAGGGTACACAGACACAGACATACAGTGCCTTGCGAAAGTATTCGGCCCCCTTGAACTTTTCAACCTTTTGCCACATTTCAGGCTTCAAACATAAAGATATAAATTTTTTATTTTATGTGAAGAATCACCAACAAGTGGGACACAATTGTGAAGTGGAACGAAATCTATTGGATTTTTGAAACTTTTTTAACTAATAAAAAAATGAAAAGTGGGGCGTGCAAAATTATTCGGCCCCCTTGCGTTAATACTTTGTAGAGCCACCTTTTGCTGCGATTACAGCTGCAAGTCGCTTGGGGTATGTCTCTATCAGTTTTGCACATCGAGAGACTGAAATTCTTGCCCATTCTTCCTTGCAAAACAGCTCGAGCTCAGTGAGGTTGGATGGAGAGCGTTTGTGAACAGCAGTTTTCAGCTCTTTCCACAGATTCTCGATTGGATTCAGGTCTGGACTTTGACTTGGCCATTCAAACACCTGGATACGTTTATTTATGAACCATTCCTTTGTAGATTTTGCTGTATGTTTGGGATCATTGTCTTGTTGGAAGATAAATCTCCGTCCCAGTTTCAGGTCTTTTGCAGACTCCAACAGGTTTTCATCCAGAATGGTCCTGTATTTGGCTGCATCCATCTTCCCCTCAATTTTAACCATCTTCCCTGTCCCTGCTGAAGAAAAGCAGGCCCAAACCATGATGCTGCCACCACCATGTTTGACAGTGGGGATGGTGTGTTGAGGGTGATGAGCTGTGTTGCTTTTACGCCAAACATATCGTTTTGCATTGTGGCCAAAAAGTTCGATTTTGGTTTCATCTGACCAGAGCACCTTCTTCCACATGTTTGGGGTGTCTCCCAGGTGGCTTGTGGCAAACTTTAGACGACACTTTTTATGGATATCTTTGAGAAATGGCTTTCTTCTTGCCACTCTTCCATAAAGGCCAGATTTGTGCAGTGTAAGACTGATTGTTGTCCTATGGACAGACTCTCCCACCTCAGCTGTAGTTCTCTGCAGTTCATCCAGAGTGATCATGGGCCTCTTGGCTGCATCTCTGATCAGTCTTCTCCTTGTCTGAGCTGAAAGTTTAGAGGGACGGCCAGGTCTTGGTAGATTTGCAGTGGTCTGATACTCCTTCCATTTCAAGATGATCGCACAGTGCTCCTTGGGATGTTTGAAGCTTGGGAAATCTTTTTGTATCCAAATCCGGCTTTAAACTTCTCCACAACAGTATTACGGACCTGCCTGGTGTGTTCCTTGGTCTTCATGATGCTCTCTGCGCTTTCAACAGAACCTTGAGACTATCACAGAGCAGGTGCATTTATACAGAGACTTGATTACACACAGGTGGATTCTATTTATCACCATCAGTCATTTAGGACAACATTGGATCATTCAGAGATCCTCGCTGAACTTCTGGAGTGAGTTTGCTGCACTGAAAGTAAAGGGGCCGAATAATTTTGCACGCCCCACTTTTCATTTTTTTATTAGTTAAAAAAGTTTCAAAAATCCAATAGATTTCGTTCCACTTCACAATTGTGTCCCACTTGTTGGTGATTCTTCACATAAAATAAAAAATTTATATCTTTATGTTTGAAGCCTGAAATGTGGCAAAAGGTTGAAAAGTTCAAGGGGGCCGAATACTTTCGCAAGGCACTGTAAACACACATACGCATAACCACAATTTTACCATCATCCAATTAACCTAAATGAATATCTTTGGAATGTGGCAGGAAATCAGCGCACCCTAAGGAAACCCACATGAACATCTGCAAAATGTACAAACTCAATGCAGTTAACACCCTGGGAATTGAAATGCCTCTAATATGAAATACCTCCAACTTGTAACCAGAGGTAGCAGGATTGTAAAAACGGAGACATTATCTCTCATATAACCAACTCTGCAGTACAATGAATCGTGATATAGCAATCACATTTCACAGACTGGCAAGCAATTAGAGTAATCTGTATTAACAGGTGAACTTTTCCATTTTAGATATTTTCTTAATTTTACTAGGGTGCCATGTAAAGAAAGGCTGTATATTGAATAACTTTTTCAAGGTTTCCTTACTATTCTGAAAAAATGTGGTCGATTTCCGGTCGAGGGCATATGTTGTTTAAGAAAACTCGGTATACATCAGGTGTGAAGTCCTCTTGAGGAATGGAGTCATTCTGTAAAACAAGACATGAGAAAGATCTGATGAAAACAACATCGATCATTATACCATTATGCCTACAGTAACTTGTTCATATTTAACGTTCATTCTCTAAAAATATAATAAAGCAGTAGGCTCCAAAGCTGAAACGTTGTGTTTTCTTTCTTCTCTTTTCAGAGGGAATAAACCTATTACTTGTTCCTTAATCAAATCAAATCAATTACTGTGTTATACAGTATACTGTATGCAAAAAAATGCAAATATTTTCTTTCTTTCCTTAAACGAAATTGCTATAGTTAGGTCATCTGTGTTTAAGAAATCCACTTTGCTCTGAATTACTACAAGTATAATGCACAAAATCTTATACTTTAAAAAATCATTAATAGGTTAAAAAGGTATGCTTGGGGTATGCTTTGTGTTTTCAGAAAGCTGGTATAACTTCATGCAAATATACTTTAAACGATTGCATAATATGCACAAATGTCTACACATCTCCTTTGGGTGTCATCTATACAAAGGGATTAGCCTCATGATGATTCACTCCTAATTAATTGTACTAGAATCTCTTTGAGGCCTCCAAAAACAGACAATAGACTCCATTTCCTTATTAATTACTTTCATTGTGAGTTTTGTTCTTACAAGTTTTTGGTCTAGAAAGTTTACTAATTGGTAACAATTCCTCCAAGGATTGTCCAAACATATTGCAATGAACAGCTTATCAATGTATTCCTTCTCCTGTGACTGCAAGCTTCTCAAGTGATTCCACTTTTGTTATTACTTTCTGTGCATTGGAGTCCTCATGTTACCTCGTGGACCTTCCATCTTCTCAGTCCATCAATGCATCACACATTTGTGCATTTGTGTCAGAGAAAATAACTATTCCTCGTTCAAATACACTCAGGTGAATAAAATGTTTCAGGATCAATTTGGTCGCAATCTTCCTGAAGTATTCAAAATGTTAAATGAAGGTTGAACAATAGGGAAGTCGCTTTTGGAGAAATGACAAAACACAAAGCAGAAATTCCATATTTGGCTTACAATGTTTCAATTCAATCTGAAATTAGACAATTTCAAAAGTCTTATTCCAATGAATTCAAACCAACAGGATTGGATGATAAAAAAATGGTGCGTGGGTTGTCATCCATAACTAGACACAAGGGAGCTGTATATAATGTAATTTAAGTGGTTGGTACTTACATTTTGCCATATTACAATAATATAATATAAATGAACAAATGTCAGCCTGCAGCATGCTGCCTGGGAGCCTTTTGGCCAATATGGATATATACAGTACCTGTAGGCCATCATTAGTTTAAACTTAGTAAAAGTCAACAAAAGATGCATGGACATAGTATCCTGTTAGACATACTGTACACCCATAAAGATTTTTGCATTCATAAAGGTTTCTCCTATGTAGATTTGTCCAATTAAAATCATAAATATATCCTACCACATTTAAGCAACTTATTCAAAGCATATAAAAGCTGTTTTTTTATCAGAAGGTACACCTGAAGATAACGGAAGTTCAATAATTTTGTACACAGGCACCAATGACTTTAAAAGACTGGGGAGAAATGTAACAGAGGCAGCATGTGGAAGCATGTTATTGGAGAAAATAATCGAGTCTAAAATATTTCATACATATTATGTAAATTATAATAATACTCTGGGTACTGATGTCCTCGGGCTCTGGACTTTTCTTTGTCCCTCCTTGTAAAGGCACGTAAAGGCACGTAAAGGCACGTAAAGGCACATTTCACTGTGTGTAAGGAGTACCTCTGTGTTCAGATACACCACTCTTGATTTTTTTACAAAAACTATCTTAGCTCATTACATCTGCTTCTCAGCTGTATTAACATACATAACAAACATACAGAAAAATATTCATAACTTACAGTTAAAACAGTTTTTGTGCTGGACTAAAGATCTGAATGTCACAGATGAAGCTGTTTCCTGGGACAGTATTTGGGATAATATAAATTCTGTCTCCAAAACTCTTTGTCACTTAATGATCCACTTAATTTTTCTATACAGAGTATGTTTGAATTCTCATACATGACATTGTTTGAAAGTAGTTCCAAATTACCACTGTATGCTCTGTCCAGGGGTCACTGTGGGCACTTTTATATATGGTATATTTTGATCCACAGTTGGTAACGGTCTGTAAAGAGGTAGAATCTTCTTATTTCCATTATTCCAATATACAGTAGGGCTATATTCACCGTTTTCTGTTGATGCTCTTATTCACACTTAAAATAATAATCCAGATATAAATTTGCGCTTCCTGTAACAACATAGTCTTGTTGCATGGGATTTCTGCATTAATGCCAATTTATGCATCCATGAGAAGAGACCTGGAAAGAAGGTACCATTGAGAGTAAGGGGTGAGAGAGGAGGGTAATTATTTTCTTTCTGTGTGGAATTATGGATGATTGTTCACAAATAAAGTTTTTGTGACTGCCATGTGCATGGTTATACAGTACTTTAATCTCAGCTGTAAATTAATAATTACATTTTCCCCAGAAATATAACACAAACACATGTGAATTGCAACTACAATAAAAATGTAATGTTAAGTATGAAGGTCTGCAAGTCGAGACAAGTTTATGCAAGTTTTAAAGCCACATTATATTATAAAAACCTGTAGCCTTATTTTGAGGTATTTAGCAGCAACGAATGAAGAATATTCTCAAACAGTATATGTCATCATGCCAGACTTGTACATACTGAATCAGAACAGTCAGAAACGATTATAATAGTACAGTGAGGAGAAAGGCTTTGACAGCCTTTAAATAAAATAATTTAATTGTAATAAAACCCATTGATTAAGCATATAAAGTATAACAGACTCATTCATTGACAGAAAAAGAAAAATGAGATAGTCCGTAAAATGAAATTCATTTAATTCCTTATGACCTTGCACTCAAACATAAAATAGAATTTGATTGTTGGATGAGGATTTTAGGGAGAATGTTTTTTTTTTAAAATAAGTTCCAATCCAATTATGCATTAACACAAATCTTGTCAGTCGTTCTGGCAGATTTTTTTTGCCAGGCTTTGACTCATTGACTAAGCTCCTCTGACAATACCTTGAGTATTACTAGGTTGTTAAAAATAAATCTTTTGAGATACAAGGAATGTTTTAATAGTACTGTAGTGCTTTCAGAGGAAGGAGACTATGTTTGGGCTACAAAAGAGAAAGTGAAATGTCTGAAGTATGTCCTATATGTGTTAAACTTAAAAAGAGATGTTTCTACTGATACAAAAAAGCTCCAGTTAATTAAATATTTTCTTTCATCCTTACGTCCCCTGGCAGGCCCTGTTTTGGGGTGTTTGAGATAAGCATGTAAAAATGTGAAATCATTGTAATTTGGTGATTATTATACTGGTGATCTACAACAGTATTTCTCAATCTTTTCCAATCAACAAAAAACTTACATAAATGTAAAAACTTGGTGACACACCACCCCCCTCTCCACACACATAAATACATATAAATAAACACATTAATTAAAACTTAAATGAGTTTAGTGAATTTGCCTTGAAGTGCATGCGTATCATATCTGGCAGGAATTGATGCCGGCCGAATGCGGAGCTCCTGTTCATCCACTCTCCATCTCTGCCATCATACCAACATGTTAAAAACATACTCTTTCCTTTCATTTGGTGACATTTGATGTGGACTTAAAATGACCAACTGAATTAATCAACTTTGAACTTTCAGTCAGCTACTGTTATTTACTTTATTGTTTTCCACTTTTATCCATTAACTTCTATCTCTCTTAATTCAACCCTGTCATCCAAATTATTATGTGAATGATTTCCATCTAGGTTACATGGGGAATTCAATTTCCTAGCAATATCTCTTTAAACTTGCATTCAGCCAATTACTGTATGTTTCTCAATTAAAAACATTAAATGTTTTCCAAATATGAAACAAGGCAAACCGCTTCTCACTTACACTCACAGGCACCGTTAGTACTATCAGCACCACAAAGGTGCAGGAGTTGCTGATCACTATTCTCAGAGCCAAAAGAATCCCAAAGCTATTCTACATTTTAACAATTAATACACATTTAAACCCATCACAAAGTTAATTTGCTACTTGAAAACTCTTCTTAAGAATACATTTCCCATTACTTTACAGATCCAGCCATTCAAAAAACGTGCGAGGTATGCTGCACTAAAACACGGTGGACGATCTGCAACGAACTGAAAAGTACTGCATGTTTTTTTTTTTAAATAGGGTGAAATACCTTGCAATACCACCAGGTGGAGCTGGGCTTAGCTGAGGTTAGCATCTCATGTGCAGCATGTGGGCTGTTGGAGGAAAACGCCTTGTTTCGAATCTCGGTCAATGCTGAGGGACAATCTTTTGCCTATTACAGAATTTAAACTGTTAAGACTTTTAATAATTTTAATTTGAATAAGAATTATATTATTAATATAATTATATTTCCAGAGGACGCTGATTGGACCCAACAGCCGGTTGCTGTTCTTTTGTGTCCACAGGAGATCTGAATCCACATAGATTGGATGAGTATTCAACATTCTGCGTTACAGCTCAAGAATTCAATTGTTACCTCAACCCCAGTTGATGTCAATTTAATTCCTATGAGTGACGCACTTGGTTTTGAGTAGTGTAGAAGTAGTAATCAAAGTTTATTAACGAAACGGTATAAATGAATGGTATACTGAATGTATGTTTCTCTTGGTTTGTAGAGAATTAGCTCACTGATGGTTTTATGTGGAGGCTGTGAACATTTTCACAAGTCGTGGTCTTTAAAATGCATTTGGTTGAAGGCTTTCTGTGTTTCCCTTGCGAAGATATGAACAAAAGAATATTCGAGTGTGGTAAAAAAATGGCTTAAAAACCGACATAGTGAAGGCTGTGAAAACAGTCACAATGTACTTTGTACACACAGCAAGTGTTTTCGTAACTCTAGGAGGTTTCGTGAAAAATCTACAGGCGTGTCAAAATCATTTTCAAACTTCAAGCTAACTTTACCCCAGTGT